CCAGGGGGGGTCCCAGGGGTATTTGGGGGGGGGTCACAATGATTCCGGGGGGTTCCGGGGTTTGGGGGGGTCCCGGCGGTTTCGGGGGGCCCCGGGGGGGTCCCGAGGGTTTTTTGGGGGGGGTCGCGGGGGTCACTGCTCGTTGGGGTTGGGGTTGGTGTCCGGGTACTTGGTGAGGTCAAAGGTCAGAACTTTGCTGATGACGCAATCGCCTTGCTGGGGGGGGCACGGATTGGGGAGGGGTCACAGCCGGACCCCCCCCGGCTCTGCACCCCAAAATCCCCCAAAATCCCCCAAAATCCCCCCAAAAAACCCCAGATTGGGGAGGGGTCACAGCCGGACCGCCCCGGCTCTGCACCCCAAAATCCCCCAAAACCCCCAAAATCCCCCCAGAACCCCCAGATTGGGGAGGGGTCACAGCCGGACCCCCCCCGGCTCTGCACCCCAAAATCCCCCCAGCAGAACCCCCCATTTTGGGGTTTTGAGACCCCCCCAGGGGATTGATGCCCCCCCATGAGCCCCTCGATTTTGGGGTATTTGCACCCCCCTGGGGTTTTTGGGGTATTTGAGGTATTTTTGGTGGTTGTTTGGGGGATATTTTGGGGTGTTTGGGAATATTTAAGGTGTTTTGGGGTTGTTTTGAGGGATTTGATGGATATTTCAGGGTGTTTGGGGGTTACTTGGGGGTCCCTGAGGCATTTGGGGTAATTTTTTTTGTGATTTCAGGGTATTTGAGGGCATTTTGGGGAAATTAGATTTTTTTGGGATATTTTTTGGGTATTTGGGGAGTGTTTGAGGTATTTTTTTTTTGGTGTTTTGGGGTATTTGAGGTATTTTTTTGTGTTCTGCTGTATTTTGGGGTGGTTTTGGGCGTTTCTGGGGTTTTTGGTTTTATATTTTTGTGTGTATCTGGGGTATTTTTTTGTGTTTTGGTATTCCAGGGGTATCTTGGGGTGGTTTGGGGTATTTTGGGGTGTTTCTGGGGTATTTTGGGCTGTTTCTGGGGTATTTTGGGGTGTTTCTGGGGTGTTTTGGGGTGTTTCTGGGGTGTTTTGGGCCGTTTTGGGGCAGTTTTGGTACCTCTGGGTAGACTCCGATCAGGCTCTGGGCCTTGGTGTAGAATTCCTCCTTGAGGGAGATGACGATGGCCTGGAAGTTGGCGGCCGACTGCTCCTTGATGTAATTGGCCACCTGGGGACCCCAAAAACCGGCTTGGCACCCCAAAAAACAGAGCTGGCACCCCGGGAATGGGGTGGGGAGCCCCAGAAATGGGGGGTGAGGGGGAACGAAATCCCACCCCGGGGCAGGAAAATGATGGAAATGGGGCTGGGGTGACACCCCCAGACCCCAAAATCGTCAGGGAGAGCCCCCAGGTGGGGAGGGGTCCCCCGAGGTGGGGAGGGGTCCCCCAAAGTGGGGAGGGGTCCCCCGAGGTGGGGAGGGGCCCCCCAAATCCCCACCTTGCCGATGTTGGTGTTGTCCAGCGCGGCGTCGATCTCGTCCAGCACGAAGAACGGGGCTGGTTTGTAACTGGGGGGGCCAAACTGGGCTGAGACCCCAAAACTGGGGCACCCCGAGGGTCCCAGTCCCTCCCAGGGCACCCCCAGCCCTGCCAGGGACCCCCAGAGGAGCCACCCCGGGGCCTGGGGGGAGTTTTGGGGTCCCAGCCGTGGGTGGTGCTGAGCAGGGCGAGGGCGGCCGGGGAGGGTTTGGGGGGGATCCCTGGGGGTTTTGGGGTCTCCCCAGAGGATTTTGGTGTTTCCTCAGGGGGTTTTGGGGTCTCCCATCGGGTTTTGGGGTCTCCCCAGGGGTTTTGGGGTCCCACCTGTGGATGGCGAAGAGCAGGGCCAGGGCAGCCACGGTTTTCTCCCCCCCGGACAGGTTGTCCATGGGCCGGAAACGCTTCCCGGGGGCCACGCAGTTGTAATTGATCCCGTCCAGGTACGGCTCCTCGGGGTTCTCGGGGCCCAGGAACGCCTGGGGGACACGGGGGGACACGGGGGGGACACGGGGG